TAAACAGTACTCCCGTTGTTCACAAATATAATATGTTTTGAATATTTTAATATAGACTAGTATACGAACCGAAGAGAATGAACAAACACACTATATACATTCGATCTAAAAAAAGGTTACTCCCTCTGATAAAAAATATTTTTGATCGTAGGAGTAAAACATGCTATATTTGTGAATGGAGGTATTAGCTGATTTGAAATAGATTTGTACATTGACGTGCAACACGCACGCGCGATTGCGGCGGGGCATCGCGGTCATTCCAGCTGGGGCATGTGCTGTCGCTGTGAATTGCGGTTGTGTGAAACTATGAACTGGCTAGATCGCGGTCATTCCATCGAGGCGGCAGTCTTTTGTGACAGCGGCCGGTGCCGCGCTGGTGCTCTGTGCTTTTTGGTCGCGGCCCGGGCCGTACGGTAGCAATCCAAAACGTTCTCACTTTTCCTTGCGAACTTTTCAAGGCTAGATCCTTTTGGAGATCTGAGTTGAAATACCAGGAATGCAAAACAGTTATTTGCAGCCCTTTTTATTTCCATTGGTTGCACCAGATGAATTACATAAGGTATACTAATTCCGGACGGATGGAGTACTTAATTTCCGACAATTCCAGAAAAGTAAATGCCAATAAAATCAAAGATTGAAACTGGTCCATCATGGATCATCGGCGCATGAAAGTCATATAAGTCGTTTTATGATTTGTTTTTATAATGGTGACACAATACCTATGTGCATGATTTTTCATAAATTTTCAACACTTTGAAATGCAAATTTCCGGTTTGAGCATTTCCTGCTTTCTCTTACATGTTTTAGTTTTTTTAGGTACATCCTTTTGTTTTTAGTACACGAGGGCGACCTGCCTGTTAGTGTTAAAAGGAGATGCATGCATGGCACTCCGTGTCCCGGTTAGGCCACCCAACCCGTTGTTGTCTTTCCCATTTATAATCACACTGACCAGAACTCATTTGGCTAATCAAGAGGGAGGTGGAGGGTTTCCTAGGTAGATTGTATAGGTGGGCTATGAGGGAGGAGTAGGGTACTGGCTTGTTAGTGGCATGGGTACGAGCTAAAAGCCGCACGGACATATACATGTAACTTGTCGTGGAGATTTTCTTTGCCTTTCTTCTATAATGTATGATATTTGAGAAAAAAAAAAGAACTCATTTGGCTTAATTAGGACACCTGCTGGCATATACGTACTCCTCCAACGGATGGGTCGTCATCATTATCATCATGCTGATCGATAATTGTGCATAATGATACGCTCTACATGAAAATAATTTGTGGGCATCGGCCTTCAGTTGACAAGACTTTCTTTCTCTGAGCATCTCTTTCTCCTATTAACAGGATCTGATAAGGTAGACTAGTGATCGATGTTTGTTAGCTTCACGTCACCGATCTACAGTATGAACTAAAGGTAAATGGCAGCGTAACAATACTGCACAACTAGTCTAGAAAGAAACTACCAACCCAATTGCCTAGCAGCATTTTCTGAAAGAAGTTTTTTTTTAAAAAGCTGAAGGAAGGGTTTTTATATGGTGCAAGTGTAAGTTGACCTCACCTAAAGACTATGGCCGGGCCGCGGTCATCGAGTGCCACCATACACCAACTTGTGGGTGGATACTGGAAAACAAATGAATGTAAGTTGACCTGTCCAAATGAAAATCCATTTTTCTTTACAAACAGCATGTGCCTTCATTTTGATGCTGCGTCCAAGTCAATATTATATGCAATGTAGAACGTGTTTTAGGCATAATTAAGAGGCACAATCACACAAGTCTGCTGGGAAAAGAAAACTTTGCAAACTCTTGAATTGTTCTTTGTAGGTGAAATGGCTGCTCTCCAAACTATGTTCGTGTCAGGGGTGGCACCTCCAGGAGGACGGGATGTATTTCAATTTGTTTTTTCAATTTTTTTTTCATTTTGCTTTTGCGAAGTTTCTTCAAATCACTTTTTTTAACTGCCACCTCGCCCGCTTTGCGTGGAGCGCGGGTAGGGAAGCTTTTGCCCAAAACTGGAACCTGCACTCCGGAGGGGAGTTACGCACCATTCTCAGCGCCCATAGGGGTGGTTTTGCTCGAGTCCCTTGGTGTTGCGTAGGGGCGCTGCTGTGGTCTCTTTGGACCACCCGTAACAAGATTACTATCGAACACAAGTTTCCCTCTCACCCTGCTGATATTATTTCCAAATGCCATTTGTTCCTTCAGACCTGGATGCCGTTGGGAAAACGGCGGGACACTGAGCGGATGGAAGAAGCCATGGAGAGGATCCACGCCATCCAGATTGCTGCTCGTCAATGATCCTCATGGATGTTTTGTGGGAGTTGTAACTACTCCTTGTCTGCTGTTTCAGACTTACTATGTTCCTTTTAGGCTACCGGCGGTTGCATGTTCTAAGTTTATGGGCTAGGCCCTGTGTTGTGTTTCCTGTTCTGACTTTGAATGCTGCCTGTTTGGTGGGCTTCATTAAATTTAAAGCTGGACGCTCCTTGCGTCTTCGTTCTAAAAAAAGTTTCTTCAAATCTATGTTTTTTTTTCAATTTTGTGAGTTCTTTTAAGGACAAACTTTTTTTAGATCCATGAATGTTTTTTTCAATTCATGAACTTTTTTCATCTAATTACGTGAACTTTTTTCAAATCCACGAACATTTTTTTCTAAAATTTTGAACCTTGGTCCTAAACATCATGATTTGTTTCTTCAAATCAGCGAAACACATGAACTAGTTTCCAATTGATGGCCTATTTTTCAAATGCGAGAACTTTTTTTGAACTCATGAACTTTTTCGAGTTCGTGGGCTTTTTTTGAACTCATGAACTTTTTCGAGTTCATGAACTATTTTCCAAATCCATAGAACGCACGAACTTTTCTCAAATTCATGAACCTTTTTTTCAATTTTTGTGAGCTTTCTCAAACTCATGAACTTTCTGCAAAGGTCAACGGTTAATGTTCATTTCCTTTTTAGATTTATGATTTTTTAGATTCATATTTCCCCCCTAAAGTCAACGGTCAACCATAACTGTCAACCAGTCAGTGTCTCACCCTAGCAAAATTAGCGAACGAGCGAAATTAGCGATTGTGCGTACCTGTTGGTGGGTCAGCCCACTGCAGCACAACGCGTGAGCGCCAGGTCGCCAAGATGGAATAAAGTTGTCCATGTCTAGCCTCCGTCCTGGTGGTCCTTCTAGCGCCATCGAAGGGCGTTTGGAGGTTAGTCTCTAGCAGGTCTCGCGGGATTTGATCGGTGTTTGTATTCCATGGATCCGCTTGGATCCGGTCTTTGTTCGTCCATGTTCGTGTGTCTACAGGCCGGTTCTTTCCGATCTACGTTTCTCTTCATCAACGGTGTTTGCTGTTCTGGTGCGCTGGTCCTCTGGGGCCTTATCAGGACGACTTCTCAACTGTCTACTACAATAAAGTTTGCCCTACTCCGGTGATGGAGTGGCGATAGCGGTGGCGCACTTTCGACTCACTCTAGTGCTTGCAGTCGTCATTTGTATTAACTTGACAGTTGATGAATAGATCAAAAGGTTTCTCAAAAAAAAATAACGATCACATTAAAAAAGTAACAAAAAACACATTGGCTAGTCCACTAGATTTATCGGGCCGAAATAGTTCACTTCATTCACATGGCTCGATTAAGGAATGACCCGGATCTTTTTTTTCCGAAATGAATGGTCCTACTCGATTGACTGTTAAGTGCGTGTATGTACATGTAGCTAGGTTGTCTTAATCGTGCAATGTTAATTAGGTGCTATACCACCTAACTTATAATAGCCGGACATCCCACATCAAGGGACTACATGAAGAGCACGGATGAGCGGTAAATAATTCGAATCTAATCTCATGTCATGAGAGTAGGATTTCCATCAATCGCTTTCTCTTGAAGGTGAGCTGAATATGACACCAGTTGGCCGGAGAGCCTAGCCGTGTCCGTCCGATGAACAAGGAACTGACAAAATGTGTTGTTAGTTGTCCAAATCTTCGTTGCATTAGTAGAAAACGGCCCATTAATACAAGTTCCAGAGGGTCTAGGTAAGCAGCACTTGTTAGTTGTTCATTCTATCGTTAAGCATTAGCTAGCAGAAAAAAAAAGTGCCTAGGTAAGCAGCATGTTTTTCAAATCCATTTCATAGGCAGAGGAGCTAGATAATTACCCATTAAAGGCAAGTACTATAACAAATCAATTGAACTAATCTCCTTATTTAAATTTTGAATCACAAATTTAAAACAATCTTAATTTTCAAAGGCTATGTAAGGCAAAGTCCTTTAGGAGATTTTCTTCTTGTTGCCGACTCGTCCTTATCTGTTTGGAGATATGGGTTGCAATACTTTGTATAGAAAATGCTTATTTGTAGCCTTATCTCTTTATTGAACTAAAAAGTACTCCAAAGGCCAAACTAAAAACATCCACTCAAGTTTTGTAATCATAATATCATCAGAAATATTGCGCTTTATGATCGAACCAGCAACAATTATTTAGTCTGTTAAAAGAAAAGAGCAAAACAATTATTTAATTCATAGACCGTTTACGAACAAAACAACCTCAAGTAGTTGAGCTGTGCTCAAATACATCATGACGTTTCTTTCATGTGTCTGCTAAAATCTGAAAAACATAATATGTGCACATCCCTAAGTCTGAACCTTTGGGATCGATATCATACTGGCTGCTGCGTGAGCAGCTCATGAGCCAAACATAAGATCCACTTCTTTGTAAACTTGATCAAATTCTGACTTAAGACAAAATTAATATGCGCTATATTTCGACATAGAAGGACTACTCAAACGTCACTAGTTAACTTCCGAAGCCTCGGTAAAACTGTTGCCACAAAACCATAAGACACTATAAACCAAAGTCATCCAAATAGCAAAGTGCGAAAGATACGTAGACGCATAAACAGACACTAAAATACTAAGACACCCAAATAGAAACTATACTAATTAAGGTAGAAGCGATTTCTCCATCTAAAAATCTTCCGCATTATCCGGGCTCCAGCTAAGAGACAATCTTAAGAAGGCATCTTCATCCCGGAGAAGTCCATGTCGGGGTACTGGGACTTGAGTTTCTTGAGCATATCCTGGTTCTGCATCTCTTCGCTGGTGGGCAGGCCCATCTGCTTCTGCCGCTGGTCAAACATCATCTTCTCCACGGTCTGCCTCGTCTCGGGGTCCAGATCCGAGAGCTTGCTGCTCTCCGGCTCAGCGCGCTGCGTGTCGATCTCGGGATCGCCCTTGATCAGGGTTTTCCACCAGTTGCTCTGATCACGCTTTGTCAGCAGTATGGACATCAAGCTCCCGTCCTCGATGCTCCAGAAGCAGTCCTCAACCTTAACTAGTTTGTGCAGCTCACCCTGGTAAGAGACGAATTAATAGTGCATCAGCACAAGAGATTTTACAGAAATAAACGACGAGATGAACTGTTGTGTACATAGTCGATAGTGATAGTTTGATGCTACTTACATCGATGATCGGAGGCTGGCCCTTGAGCCCGACCTTGAGGTGGTCCTTCTTGATCTCGCAGACGACGAACCTCGCCTTCGTTCCTTCAGGGAGGGGGACGGAGATGTTCACCTCCGGCAGCTGCTGCGCCCACGAGAACTTCTCCAGGTCGAGGCCGTTGCCGGAGTTTGGCTGCCTCCCCTTGCTCTCCTCCTTCTCCTTCTTCTCCACCTCCGGGCTGTTCTCCTTCACGGCCGCCCCCGCCGCCTGCTGCGGCTGCGTCGCCCCCTCGTCCTCCTGCATGATGTCCTCGGAGATGATCGCCATGGCAGCCGCTCTGTCTCTACTCTACTCTAGGGTTTCGGTCGACTTGGGGAAGCGCTCGCGTCGAGATCTCTGGTCGAGGTGGGTTCGATCGCAGATGAGTTGATGGGGCTTTGGGCTTTGGGGTTCCGTTTATTTATATTGATTGAAGACCTCTGCGCGCGAGGCCGTCTCGGCTAAGATTTCCGGAGGTGCCCGGACTGGATTCGTATTCCGCTTCGACTATGCCGGTGTCTACTCCAACTAGTAGAGTGCCCATGCGTTGCCATGGGCCTTTTAATCTTTTATTCTGGTTGCACATATATACGTGTATTATTGTATATAATTCGGTGAATTTTAGGCCACTTCCAACAACACTATGCTGGAAACCTTGTCAAAGGATTCCTTTTAAATATCGACATCATACATCTTCATCTCTCTCATACTCTGCAAAAATAAGCATATATGAAAATACATCTTCTATATTGTCATGTGCAACAAATATATAAAGAAAAACCACTATTTATATATGTCTCTTCTAATTGTGGAGTTTTCAGTCCGCCAATCATAAAGCTTTGTCAATTGACATTTTCAAAGCATCATCCGAAGCCATAGTTCTTATCTCTAATCAACAAAAGCGATATATAAACACATATTAAAATAAAAAAATAAGATAAGCCCATATACAATATATGTAGTCCGAGTGAGTGGCATCTGCTTTTTGGTAGAGTAAGTCGCATCCGAATTTTAGTAAGGAACTCATTTGGTAATTATTCTCCAGAAATGACTGGCTAGGATATGTGTTATTTTTCACTGTATAAAAAGGTATGTGATATTTTTCTCACAACAAATAGTCACTTTTTCCACAAAAAAAAAGCAAACAGCAGCTCCTTTTCTTCTCACCTTACAATAAACAAAACAGTTCAATCTCTGACTCTCATTGCATGGCAGAACGTTCACACTCACATCTCATTCTTCCTGCCTGCTCTCCTTGTCACGGCTTCGTCGCCACAATCTCTCCTCGCCATGGCCTCTTGCTGCTGCTTCCCCTCAACGCCACGTCATTCAACCCGCACCTTCCTCTCACCGCCATCTCTCCTTCCCTCCACGGTGTCACCCGCCCCCTCCTCTCCCCTCCACGACATCCCAGGCTAATTCCCGGTGCTAAGGAATGCACATCGTCGTAGCTCAGAGCGACCACCAAAATGTGTTTTTGCTGTCATGATATATGAAATGGTATATATCATGTGCTCATTTTGCTTCTTTTTTTGAAATAGCTATTGTCGAGGTATGTCCCCGTGCGTTGCTACAAGGCCAAACTTTATTGAGGGAATAAGAGGAGCATAAGGGGACAAACGTAAAGAAAATCAAATAACCGAAAGAAGATTATGTGGAAATAATCAGAGATAAAACATGTTTTTCTTACTCGACAAAGGCGATGCATGTGGAGTGCACACAATCACTGAACAACCTTGGTCGAGCAACCTTAATGAAAAGTAAAAGCACCACAGTTCATTCATATGAAAACATGTTCAAAAGATAAAAGCATTTGAACACATCTGGCCATAAATTCCTTGGAAGAGTAAGTAAATATGATTGAAACATGAAGGTAGCATATGTGCATCGGTGATTAAATAATGAGGCATGCAATCAAGGGAAAATAATAAAATGTTGGTTTTTTGCTCGAAAATAACACCTTGATTAAAACTTTCTTCCATCATCATCATGCTAAATTTTGCAGTTAATGGGGTATATCATAGACCAACATCATATCTGTTTTTACGTGTTTCAAGGTGGGGTTCCATTTCATGTTTCTTTGTGCTTCTAGTGTAGAGGAGTTTATATTTCATATATATATATATCAAAAAGTAATCTTTGTATTCCATAAAATAGGTTTCAAATTCCATAAATACTTGGAAGAGTAAGTAAATATGATTGAAACATGAAGGTAGCA